TATTAAATCAAATTTAATTAAAACTGTCTAGCTAAGCAAAAGCTGTTAGTGGCTAAAGTGCTCCTGCTGTAGCTGCTGCTCCTGCTGTAGTTGCAGCTCCTGTTACTGTTAGTGCTGCTACTCCTGCTCCTGCTGGTTTTTGGCCTCGTCTCACTAATAAATCAAGAGCGCGTGTTAACGTACCTGATTTCCCAAGCAGCAGCACCGAGGGAGTACCAAGAGACTGCTGCAGCTGCAATTCAATCTGGCAAAAGGTGAAATTTTAGCTAAGTGGCAACAAAAAGCGTGCTTAACGTTGCGTTCAGCAAACAGACAACAAGCCAAAAGCAAAATTCATCAATTAATGACATCAGTAACAGCAAACAGCAGCAACAAAAGCAACAAAAGCAGTAACTGCACCACTGGCCGTTTAAACAATGGCCAGAAGCGGGTAACAATGTCAAATACTGTTGCAAATTGCTAGCAGCCAGGCAGGTGTATGTGTGTGTGTGTCTGTGTTTGTGCATGAGTCTGTGTTTGTTGTCGTTATTTACATGTTGTTTGTCACGCTCCCTGGCGCTTGACGTGGCAGCAAACAAACAGCAGCAACAACAGCAGCATTGGACACAGCACAGGGTCAACTGCATAACTTTTTGGCTTGTTTTGACTAATTGACAAAGAGCTCAGCACTAGACTGTAATGCACACAAATACAGACACATAAAACCAGAGCAAATAGAAAGATGTATAGAGCATACAAATTGGGAAAGCTTAATAGCTGACATGCAAAATAACAGTTGGGTGATAGATGTAGAGTAAGTGGGGAAATAATGTGAGAAAGAGAAATAGAAACAGAGAGAAGGTAAAGGCGAGGGTGAGAGGCAAAGTGAGATGAGATAGAATTAGAGAGAGTGAAAGAGAGTGAATGATAACGTGAAAAGGCGGAAAGCGAATCAGCTTGACTTCATTTCTCTCTGTCTTTCCTCTAATTAAACGACACAAAGTGAGAACGAGCGGGAGAGATTACGGAAAAGGACGAGACAGGGAAGCAGATAAAAGAGACAGAGGAAAAGAGACAGAGGAAGAGAGACAGAAAGAGAGAGAGAGAGAGAATGAGAGAAAAAATAAGACAGAATCAGAGAGAGAAATTTAGATAAAACAAGAGCGAGAATCTGCTCAATCATATTTTTTTTATATATTCAGTATAGAAGCAGTTGAACTATACACCGATCGTATTTTAATATACTCATGAGACGACGAGGAACCAAAATTGTGGAAGAGACAACGTAAATCTTGCCTACGTAACCAACATGCAATTTCGCTAGCTATAGTTCTATATAAATAGTCTGCCTAAAAGAGAGAACATCAATTACATTAATTACATTTACATTTATTCATACTCATTTCTATGTTTAGTCAGCATACATATAAATAACTCAGTCCATATTCCAAATTCTGTGTTTTTTCTCTCTCTCAGGTTATTAAGTATTCACATCTCCATACCATCTCCATTTTGCCCGTAGTATTAATTGCAAATCAATAATTTGCTGTTTGCTGCATCTTGACTCATGCTGAATCATAATCATTATACCTAAAGCTACTTATTTAATTACGCCCATTCTAAAGTCTACTTCACTCGGGCTGACATACCAAGAAGAGACTGTTATAAATCAAGTATTGTGTAAAGAAATAAATTACTTCGCAGAAGTCGTATTATTTTTATCAGCTTATTTGCTTTCATTACGTTTCATTACGATGATTACCTGAGGGCGTCCCAGAGATACTAATCTCATTTTTATTTACTACTTCTTATTCATGAAATTCTGCCAATACATATATACATATTTTTTCTATTTATTATACTCTCTGACGCATTTTGCATTTCGATAATGACGAGAACGAATGAGCTTAATCAGTGTGGAGTCCATGAAATTGCAGCATCAAGAAAATCTATTTAGCTTAACTCACACAAACTACATAGTTTTAGTCCAAGTCATTTAATTGAATAAGCGCGAACTAAATGAAAATCTCTTGACAAATAACTGCTACATAGTTTCTCTCACTTTTTACGATGAGCAAAGCTGAGGACCGAATTTATGTCACATTTAGTCCATGCACTAATTAAGTTGAAACCTTAGCATTTACCTTGTAAGGACATGCGCTGCTTGACTGCATGGTAATAGCAAACTCTTGTTGCCCAAGGCTGTGTAGGCACATAAAAAATATCATATGTCAACTACAGCGCTCTCACTCATTAAGCTCTTAACCTCGTTTGAGGCACACACTAGCTTACACCAGCACACACACAGAGAGAGAGAGAGAGAGAGATAGAGAGAGTGAAAGAGAGAGAGAGGGATAGGAGAAGGATGTGGTACAGGCAGGATATGCGAGCTGCTACTGAGCGCTTTATTACCAATGTCGACATGGCTTGGGCCAACAACGACAAATCTGTCGTTGCTTTTGTTTTTGCTGCAAGTTCAATGAGTTTTCCCACTCACACACACACACGTACAGCATTTCCGTTTGGAGAGTTATGTATGTGTTGCAATCGCGGAATTTTTCCTCACTTCTTTTTATTTTTTGGTTGCCTTTCAATTAATTTAACTGCCTTTTGCTCAAGTTCTTTACATTTCCTTGACTTGAATGTATGAAATCAAATTAATTAAGCACACATACACACAAAGCCAAACATAAATATATCTACATCTTTATGTGTATGTGTGTAGCTGGAGCTGGAGCAACGATTCACGCCCGCTTTCTTATGCACATGCGTGAAACATTCTTTTCATAATTTATTTTTGCTGCTGCCTTCGCCAAGGCTCGTTGCGTCTTTGGCATTCATTTTATCTGCTTCTTTTCATCATTATCAACTTCATCAGTTAGCCAAGCGGTCAGGCTGGCTGGCTGGCTGGCTGAGCAGGCCAACTCCTTTGGCTGATTTCTTGTGGCACACTTTTGTGCATATGTCTCCTGGTGTTATGTATGGGCGCACTCATAATTTGATTTCTGCTACACAACTCTGATTAAGGATATCAACACATACACACACACACACACACACACACACACACACATGTACACACGAATCGGATTGCTAGCCTGCAGCTGTTCTCTGCCCTTTCGTATTGGATTCCATATTCATTTTTATGTCTACTGCCTTTTGCCTTTGAGCTATGGTCAGCAAATGTTGTTTGCCAAGCATCGACTCGAATGATTTACAGTCAGATGCCTATTTTTTTTTTTTTTTTTTTGCTGACTAAGTAACCCATAGGATAAGCCGAGATCTATAGAGATAGAGCAGCATTTAAATTGTTGAAAAACCATAAAATACAAAATATTCATAAAACAATAAAAACGAAAGTCCACGCCTCGGGCTCAATAACAAAAGCTGCACACAAGGCCAATGCATATATCATGCTCATCAAATAAAAGCCAGCAAGAGAAAAAAAAAACCACAACAACAACAACTTAAATAAATCAATCAAAAAAAAAAAAAAAAACAAGTAAGAACGTTGCAGTCGAGCGTTACCGACTGCGGAATACTCATTCACATCCCATCAACAATTTTGTAGTTAAGTTTCGTTCTAATACTGTAGAATATACAGGTTTTTCCGATTTGCCACGCCCCAACTGGGCGTAGACACCTCATTTTTGGTCAGTTTTTAGAAAGAGATAACGTTACCCTAACTGCAAAGTTTGAATGCTTGTGAATGCCACGCCCCTAAAGAGGCGTAAAAATTATTTTTGGGGAATCGATAGAGGAGGCTACCAGTAACTCAACTATCCAAATTTGAAGCTTCTAGCTATTATACTTTAGGAGATATAAACTTTTGCGGTTTGCCACGCCCCCTGTGGGCGGACATATATCCGACAAAACTTTTTGGTCTTGGGTGATCAGTCCGAGTATATATACAAAATTTGAGGTCTCTGCCATCAATAGTGTCCAAAATATAGGAGAATTTAAAAAATCACTATATCTTCAGGTCCGATTTGCCACGCCCCTAATGGGCGTAGACTTATAATTTATCTTCAGACTTTATAGAATCATATCATTAGCTGACGTGCAAAATTTCAGCATTCTAGGTTTACAACTTTAGGAGATACAGTTTTTTCCGATTTGCCACGCCCCCAATGGGCGTAGATATATCCGCCATAGCTCGTGATCTTGGGTGGTCAACGCGGACCTACATACCAAGTTTCAGCTTTCTAGCTCTTCAACAAACATGATTTCTGGTATATCGGAAAATGCATTTTCCGATTTGCCACGCCCCTAGTGGGCGGATCGGGAAAATTTTAACACTTTATAAATCGGAGATATACACGAGTATGTGTTCCAAATTTCAAGTCTCTAGCTTCAATAGCGCCGAAATAGATTGCGTTCATACGGACAGACGGACAGACGGACGGACGGACAGACGGACAGACGGACAGACGGACGGACAGCAAGACGGACATTGCACAAAACCAATATACTGATTCACTTTCGTGAATGAGTATAAAAAAAAAATGCAGAATACATCGAATGTTTTGAAAAATGCTTTGATTGATGTTTGAGTGCTGCTGTCAAAGCAATGAAATCCATCAGCTGAATGGGAAGACTCTTGAAAATCTGTATAAACAGTTAATGAACATATACATAATGATAGATAGCTGGATAATTATGCATATACATATCTATATATAAGCCATGTAGATATTATCCGCTATGAGTAGATTTGCCTTGCAGAAATATTAATCGAGTCCTATAGAGGCAATAGGAGGGACTAGGCCGGATTTGAAATCATATCAAATGGAAACATGTGTTAATTATATTTGATTATTAGCCGCATCTGTTATATTTCAAATTATGTTGCCTGCAACCAGCTTAAGCCCCAACAGAGCTTTTATGATTTAAATATGCTTCACACTCTTGTTGAGCTTCTCCTTGTAAAATTTTTATAATTGGTACTTAAAGATCGTAATCTCAATTATTTGTAAATTTCTCAATATAATATTGAAATATTGAATTCATATGTCACTTACCTAATTATAGAATATATTTCGGCCAGAAGCTACTTGTAACGTTTATTGCTGCAATGATAAGAATTGGTGTTCAAAGTACATTAATTAAGTTTAATTAAGATCTTAGCTGTTAACGAAAACTTAATCATAAAAACCTTGCGCAGCTAATTAAACAAGCAGCAATTCAATTAATTAACGAAGTTTAAGGGCAAGCCGCAGATAGAGCCAAAGCCAAAGCCAAAGTGACGGCAAATCGACTCAAGGCCTGTGTCACCACTGTGCACAGGTGTGCTAATAAACTCGCTAACACACCAACAAACCTTCACACACACCCACACACACATAGAAAGTCAGCGACAGGCAGCTAAGCCACAAAATCAGAAATGTTAATTAAAATCACTGTGCGTTGAGCCCAAGCGTTGGGCATATTAAACAGGAAGGAAATCAGCTGGGAATGAAAGCCGTTAGCCGCAAGCCAGGTGAAAGCAAAAGCAAGATGTATGTATTCTCATATACCGCATGTTGTACTACAAATGCAGAGTAAATTCATTTGGCTCTAAATTATGCCATTGCCAGCTTGAGGGAGCGTTTAGAGAACGGAAGAGGTTGGCGAATAATGAAAGAGAGGGAGCTAGCTAGAAACAGAGAGAGAGAAAGAGAGACTGATAGAGGATGACATGAAAAAAAAAGAGAGTGATACAGAGAGAGAGAGGTACAGCAAGTCAAGCTAAGAGCTAGAGAAGCTTTGAGAAAATGTTAGACTAGGATAATCTAATTTTTACATGGACTAGAATATTCTTGGTAAAAATGAGAGCTTGTAATCCAGAGTGTTCTCCACTTCCATAATTTAAGTAGGTCCTTGCCTTAAATGTAAGCATACAGAGTCTGAGCAGACTCTTAGCTAAGACTCAGCAGCTTTATTATATATACTGGGTGGCCCAATATGGGGTTTAGCAAAAATTTCTATATATCAAATAAAAGTCTTAACACATTTTGTTGCGATTTTGATTATTATTTGTGAACGAATATAATAAAAAACTTGGCTCTTATGCCTCAACTCCAAGCTAAATTTACAGTGACTCGTCTCCATATATATATATATATGCTGCAATTACTTTCTATGCTTCCTCTTCCATAGAGCTGATCTTGGCGAGTGAACTAAGAACTTGAACTGGGCTTTAAACAGAAATATAATTCGCTATATTTAGCTTAAGCTGGCTGCCAGTATTTTATATACTTACTTTAAACTTAATTATTCAGTAGCTCATTATGCACATAAAGTAAAATGCAAAAATGGTTATTTAAAATAGCCAGAGCTAGCAGACTACAGCTCGCCTCAGTGGCTCTCGAACAAGAGCCACTCATATTTAATGAGCTACTAAATAAATAACCCTTAAATAATAACTGGCTTAATCAAAGCAGCAGTAATTTCCGTTACCTGCACGATATTTTTCAGGAATTTTTAACATTATTTTTTGGTTTGTGCTGGCTTAAAATAATTTGAAATTTCCCGCAGGAAAATTCAATTTCTAGAGTTTCCAGAGCCAGTCAATGCCAGCTGCTTAGCAAGCCAGCAGCAGCAACAATAATAAATGTGGGAAGTTAACGAAAACAAAAAAATATATGAAAGGGAGAGAGAGAGAGAGAGAGAGAGAGAGAGAGAGCTAAAATGAAGGCAACAACAAAGGCGAGTTCGCATTTAAGAGCGTAATGGACGTAACGGAAATACAGAATTCCGATCAGGAAGCCAGGGGTCAGGAAATCAACTGAAAAAATGGCAACAAAAAAGCGCGCAATGCAAAGCGAGAGACAAAGAGACAGCGACTGCGACAGAGACAGAGACAGAGACAGAGATGGGGACAGAGTCAGATAGAGTCAGATGGAAATGAAAGAAAAATATATATTTATATATTTACAACTGTCGACTGGGCTCCATAATACCCATGAAAGCAAACGAATATTAAAGCGAACAAAGCGAATGCCCAAAAATTATGCATGGCCTGTCAGCGCTTTTAGTTTATAGCAGATTGTGTAAAAGAATTTGCATTAAAAAAAAGTGTGTGTGTGTGTGGGGGGGGCGTGGAGAAAAACGTAAAGCTATCATTAAAGGCTTAAAGTGATTATGCTGAACGATTAATGATGCGTCGCCTGCAAGTACTTTTAATCGGTTTGCGGACGAAGTTCTCTAGCGGAAATTTCTAAAAACGGCTTTAAAGGGATTGCGTGGGCGGGATGAGCTGCTCAACTGTGCCACGTAACACAATTAGCAACAACAAGTTTCATTAAAGCGGCTTCTAACTTTCATTAAAAAACACTTAACCCATGCCCAGGACAACAACAATGGAGGGACCGAATGGCCGAGCGAGACCGTGAGCCGACCCTTGCGTAGCCTCACAATACTAATACTTGACCCACCCACTTGACCCACATGACCCGCTGCTGCACCAACGAGCCACCGACCACCACATGGAAGCTGGCTTAGTGGGCTAACTGTGAGCGTGTCTGCTCCTGCTGCTGCTGCGTCTCCTGCTCCTGCCACTGCGTGTGCCTTTCTGTTAGACGAGCTCGCACATCGTTAGTCATATTTTTTTAGATAGCAAACTTTAGGGCAAACAAGACAAAGAGTAAAATATGTATATAAATGTATATGTCTATATATTTTTAATTAAATTAAAGAGCATTGTGTGGCGGAAGTTGTGGCACAAAAGTTGTAATAAAAAAACTGTTGCATACTTGTGTGGGCTGAAGTTTTTGTCGGCAGGAACTCCAATTTTGTGAGAATTTGGTTAGCTATAGAAACAACCTCAAGGCTTAGCCAAACTCAACTATGTTATTACTTCTGCTTGTTTTCCCAATCATGATCAATTGCTGAACTCCATCGTGTGCCGGATAAATATTGAACTGTGATCGGCCGATGTCAGTGCGGTGTGTGTTCCTTTCAATTTCATTACGTCTCGTATTTTCCTTTAATTTTTCTTGTGCAAACAAACAAAACTGACAAAAACCAGCACCAGCAGCAGCCACACAGCTGAAAAATGGCCACGCAAGAGGGAAAAAGAATAAAAATAACACAGACTTTGAAGCGCGGCAGCTGCGGGGTACAAAACCGAAAAAACTTTGCTGCTACTTTGCCATTTTTTGTATTTTCTGTTCATTTTATTTTTTTTTTTTTTTTTTTACTTCGACTGTTTTCTTTTAATGGCAGAGCGTGAAAACAAAACTTTTTTACTGCTCCTGCTAGCCGCATTTAAACGGCGACACTAATGGCCCCCAAATTGAAATAGAATTTTTGTATTTGTGCAAATATTTTGCAAACTGAGAAGTGGCAAAAGTTTAGCTGAATGACTGAAATTAAAGTTGTATTTGCGAATGCCAAGGCGTCATGTGCAGTCTGATAAGTGGATAATAATATAATGGAAAGAAAAAATAAGAATTTTATCAACACAATTAAAAAAAAATAAAAAAAAAATCGGATTGAATACAATTCCTAAAAATCCAATTTGTAAATTAAGTTCTTAAAATATTTAACTCAACATAGCTACATTAAAAAAAAAGTAAATTCCTCCTGCCTTCCCCCAAGATGTCAATAAATTGCATCAATATTTATCATAAATTTATTATTACGCCAAACTACATAAATCTCATTCCCATTTGCATAGATTATTAACTTAACTTTATGCATTTCTATTTAAAATATGCAAAAATGTGTTTCATTTCAAAATATTCGGCCTCGCATCACTGTAGCGTGATAGGCATATTCGATAAGTTGCTAATTAATAATATAATTTATACATCGACATTTTTGCCACCACTTTTCAAGCTCAATAATTTAAAAAAAAAAATTAAAAACAAGTAAGAAGGCTCCAGTCGAGACTGCTCGACTGGGAGATACCCTGAACCCTCCAAGCTGATATTCTAATCATTCTGCACTTCTTCTATGCACACATACATACACATGCACTTATAAGCACGCGCTCTGCTAACTGCGCAGTAAGCAGCGGCTACGCTTGGGCTGCGCTGCAATGTGGGCAATATTATGAGAATTTATTAGTTGAATAATTTCTCTTGTAGTAAGAGTATCTTTATGAAACACAATGTGTTCATATAGTTAAAATGTGTGTACATTCCAAAGCACAAGTCTCTAGTACTTGAAATGCGTTTTTTACAAATTGGTGGCGAAGGGGCGTGGTATCCAAAATCTGTAAATTACAAAATCTTTGTATCCATTAACTCTATATACAACGCAAATTTGAAGTCTCCTGGTTGAAAAGTGTTCAAATTAGGCTGAAAAAACAATGTCGATTTTTCGATTATTCTCGATAAAAAAGTTATCGGACGAGTTATCGAAAAAATAAAGCAAACTCGTACTGCCTATGATATACACGAGTATGCATGCCAAATTTCAGCTCTCTAGCTCTTATAACTTCTGAGATCCTTTTGCTCATACGGACGGACGGACGGAGGGACGGACGGACGGACGGACGGACGGACGGAGGGACGGACGGACGGACGGACGGACAGACGGACAGGGCTATATCGACTCAGCTCGTCGTCCTGATCAAGAATATATATACTTTATGGGGTCTGCGATGATTCCTTCTGCCTGTTACATACTTTTCACAAAACCATTATACCCTGATTTCCCATTTTCAATGGGTTCAGGGTATAAAAAAAAAAAAACAACACGCGTAGCGAAATTGCATTTGTTTGCGAGTGACCCAAATAGAATTTATTTCAATTGCAGTGCAGCGCAATATTTCCGCAAATAAGCAAATAAAACAGCAGCTGAAAATAACAAACAGTGAAATTTTGTTGCATTTTCGGCAAATTTGCGGAAAATTTTATAGAGCACGGGAGAGGTAGAAGAGAAGACGAAGGAGGGAGAGCCAAAGAGTCAGCTGGTAACATTATGATTTAATTTACTAATTGAAAACTTCTGTTGGCCAGGGCAAATGTATCGGAAGTGTGCTGCATTAGAAGTGGCTAAACCGCTTTCTAGCCATCCATCAAATTTGGTTTTTCGAATGGGAAAAAAAATGAAAACAAATAGGAAAAACGGCTGCGTTTTT